ATATATATATATGTGTGTGTGTTTGTGCGTTGGTGTGTATGCTTGTGCAATAACAGCTTAATTAGTTATATTTTCTCTTGTTGTACAAGCCTGTTTAGCAAGATAAGCGCAATGTCAACGAACTAAGATCAGGTCAACAACACCTTTCTTGTAGGGGAGCCATGGACTAGTTTGGACGTGTGACAAGCAGTCCCGCTGACTGATGGAAAACGCTTCTCACCCTCTGTTATAAAGATAGACAGACAGACAGACAGACAGACAGACAGACAGACAGACAGACAGACAGATAGAAGAGAAAGAGAGAGAGAGAGTTCAACTTGAGTCCAACAATGGAGAGCATGACCATTACACCACTGACAGCGATTTTCCCAAAGTGCCACCGTAATTTCAAGTATAAATTTAATGCAGAACAAATTTTACTAGAAAATGCTTGGTCAGCCGTAGATGGCAGTTGAAAACAAAGCTTTGAATTTTATATCTTCGGCTTGTAAAAGAAAAACAAGATTTGTACATGTTGCTTTGGTGTGTGTTGTCGGTTTTGTTGTTGCGGTTTGTTTATTGATATGAGTTTTTCTTGGGGGTTTTGTTTAGTTTTTGGGAGGTTTGGGGGTTGTTAGTTTATTTTTCCTTGTTTGTTCTTTTCGAGTGGTCTTTGTTTTGTTAATTGTACTTTGAAGAGTAACTTAAAGGGCAACTCGAGCAAGCACTAATTTTCCGTGTTGTGGATTTTCATTATTTCGCTTTGAACCAGTAGTTTTGTTCCCGCTCACATCTTCCGGAGCTGTGAGGCCGAGGCCTCCAGCCAGACGCCTTCAGGGCCTAAGGGTATTCCCCCCTGACTACACGTTTCGATCGATTGCCCCCCTTTATTCTGGAATCTGCACTCATTATTCGGTTGAGTAGACTGGCGTCAGAATTGAATGTAGAGGGTAGGGAGGGAAGCCGTACCCGGCATCCGGATATATTATTTTTTGCTCGAACTCTTGCCAGGCATTGATTTCCTTTTCTGCTTCTTTTTGCAGCATTATGTAACATTACTACGTTTCCCTGTTGCTTTAAGTTTTAAGCAAACTAAACTAACTCTTATCATTCTTTTTTGAAATAATGTATTTGTAAATAAATCTTTGAGTTGTTGTGCGGAGCTGCAGCGTATACCGTGCTCTGCCCTCAGTTCTTTTTGTTCCCTAGCTTTCTTAGTCTCGTAATATTTTCCGAGCTGGTAGATGAAGGGCGCCATAATTATAATATAGTGTAAAGCGCATAGAGCCTGCTGCTGAGCGGGGATATGCGCTATACAAATGCTATGTATTATTATTATTATTATGAAGGGCGCCAACGGTAGATCCTGCTTATTTTCAGACCTTGAGAAATCTTCCTGTTCATCAAGATCTCCTTGTAGACTGGAGTCGCTCTTTAATTAGTATAGTCTTGATCTGAACATTAGCAGCTGTCATTTCAAGACAACATGGCGCTTGCACACGGCGTGATTCGGGGAAGTAGAAAGTTACATGCAGTGAGATTTATAACATGACAGGAAGGGGGCCGGGGTGTGCGGGGGTTCCTCTGTCAGTTTGTTTTCAAGGGAGGGAGGCATGATTAGGTGGTTCTTTACTGTCCTGTACTGTGCTTGAATGCTAATAATGAGCTCCTTTGTCTTCTAATTGAAAGTCACGCACGAGCGGCTGTTTGACTTGTTATAAATAGGATGTATGGCGTATTCACTCGTGACAAATCCTGTCGAAGAACTTGATTACCATATTATTATATATAATTGTGTGTGTGTGAGTGTGTGTGTGTGTGCTACACACACACACTC